AGACACCAATTGGTGGCTCGGCCAAGACCGAGCCACCAATTGGTGGCTCGACCAAGACCGAGCCACCAATTGGTGGCTCAGACCAGGCCGAGCCACAGGTCGAGCCACCAAATGGTGGTTCACGCTTGAACCGAACCGGTTTGGTTAGTTTTGCACCCGGTTCAGCCAGATTCGATCCGAAAACACGTTTTGACGGTTTTTGACTAGTTTTCACAGGATTTCTTCTGTTCTAGAGGTTCCTAACTGCCTAGATGTTATCTCTAAACATGGTTACACTGTTGTCAACTGAGGATAAGGCCAAATCTATCGTTCATATCCAAAAACCCCCATCCAAAGCCTATAAATACAGGCCTAGGAGCTCATTTCACAGGGGCGGAGATCAAGAGGGCGAGGTGCTGCCAAATTAGAGAGTGGAGCACGAATTTCAGAGGGTTAGCAGATCTTGGCGAAGTTCCTCAATAAAAAAAAGAGAGTTCGAGAGATCTGAGACCTGTTTCCCCCCTATTCCTTCGGATTTAAGCTTGGTCTTAATCCCGAGAAGAGTGGTAATCTCGCTTGGTCGGGATTACCACTTCTGCGAATACTTTCTTCGTAAAGTAGGAGCTTTGATTATCAATCTGTTAACCGGATCTGATCTGTGGCGGTCCACGGATATCAACGTCCCCGACACAGGCGAAGTTCCCACGTAAACAACAGGAGATAAACTGTTGTTGTGTTGTTTGACAAGAGTTGTATTCTTTTTATTTTTATTGTATAAGTCGATTGTTTGCGTCAAAAGTTGGTTTTGTCATGGAATTCATTATATCTTCGGTCGATTACAACAAATTCAAAAGAGATAGTCTTTTTATAAGACTTCTTTTACACAACAAAAGGAAAATTACAACTCTTGAAAAACAAACGCAGGATCGTTGTTTGGATCGCTGCTTGCGTGGGATCTTTGCCTGTGCCGGGAGCGCTTTGACTCGTGGACCACCAAATCACAGATTCTGATTGAACCGTGAGGGGTTTAATGATTCTTCCTTCGTTTATCGAAGTAAGAATTTGAAGCGAATATCTTATCGATGTAAGATGTTCACTCTTCTAAAGATCAAGTCAGAGCTTAGATCTCTAGGAATGGCTAGAAACTTCTTGAGGATGTTTGTGAAGAAGAAAGACTCTCTCTCTTGCTCTAATTCTCCAAAACTCAAGGCTCTCTGCTCTAATCTGCTCTGGAAATGCTCTCCCCTTTAATTCGTGCCTAGGGAGGTATTTATAGGGCTCTCAGTGCACCACAGTTGAAACGGAGGCGAAATAACTGACTGGCCGTTTTCTCTTTGGCCGCTGCAGTCTACACTGCCGCGGCTATTGGCGCGGCAGTATCGTTCAATTTGTGGACCTCTCGTTCATGGAACGAATCGAGAGGGGATTTTGGCTTTGGTCCTAACTGTTTAAAGGTTTGACCAAGATGGGAATTTGAGACGATCCTAACTGTTTAAAGGTTTGATCGTTCAATTTGTGGACCTCTCGTTCATGGAACGAATCGAGAGGGGATTTTGGCTTTGGTCCTAACTGTTTAAAGGTTTGACCAAGATGGGAATTTGAGACGATCCTAACTGTTTAAAGGTTTGATCGTTCAATTTGTGGACCTCTCGTTCATGGAACGAATCGAGAGGGGATTTTGGCTTTGGTCCTAACTGTTTAAAGGTTTGACCAAGATGGGAATTTGAGACGATCCTAACTGTTTAAAGGTTTGATCGTTCAATTTGTGGACCTCTCGTTCATGGAACGAATCGAGAGGGGATTTTGGCTTTGGTCCTAACTGTTTAAAGGTTTGACCAAGATGGGAATTTGAGACGATCCTAACTGTTTAAAGGTTTGATCGTTCAATTTGTGGACCTCTCGTTCATGGAACGAATCGAGAGGGGATTTTGGCTTTGGTCCTAACTGTTTAAAGGTTTGACCAAGATGGGAATTTGAGACGATCCTAACTGTTTAAAGGTTTGATCGTTCAATTTGTGGACCTCTCGTTCATGGAACGAATCGAGAGGGGATTTTGGCTTTGGTCCTAACTGTTTAAAGGTTTGACCAAGATGGGAATTTGAGACGATCCTAACTGTTTAAAGGTTTGATCGTTCAATTTGTGGACCTCTCGTTCATGGAACGAATCGAGAGGGGATTTTGGCTTTGGTCCTAACTGTTTAAAGGTTTGACCAAGATGGGAATTTGAGACGATCCTAACTGTTTAAAGGTTTGATCGTTCAATTTGTGGACCTCTCGTTCATGGAACGAATCGAGAGGGGATTTTGGCTTTGGTCCTAACTGTTTAAAGGTTTGACCAAGATGGGAATTTGAGACGATCCTAACTGTTTAAAGGTTTGATCGTTCAATTTGTGGACCTCTCGTTCATGGAACGAATCGAGAGGGGATTTTGGCTTTGGTCCTAACTGTTTAAAGGTTTGACCAAGATGGGAATTTGAGACGATCCTAACTGTTTAAAGGTTTGATCGTTCAATTTGTGGACCTCTCGTTCATGGAACGAATCGAGAGGGGATTTTGGCTTTGGTCCTAACTGTTTAAAGGTTTGACCAAGATGGGAATTTGAGACGATCCTAACTGTTTAAAGGTTTGATCGTTCAATTTGTGGACCTCTCGTTCATGGAACGAATCGAGAGGGGATTTTGGCTTTGGTCCTAACTGTTTAAAGGTTTGACCAAGATGGGAATTTGAGACGATCCTAACTGTTTAAAGGTTTGATCGTTCAATTTGTGGACCTCTCGTTCATGGAACGAATCGAGAGGGGATTTTGGCTTTGGTCCTAACTGTTTAAAGGTTTGACCAAGATGGGAATTTGAGACGATCCTAACTGTTTAAAGGTTTGATCGTTCAATTTGTGGACCTCTCGTTCATGGAACGAATCGAGAGGGGATTTTGGCTTTGGTCCTAACTGTTTAAAGGTTTGACCAAGATGGGAATTTGAGACGATCCTAACTGTTTAAAGGTTTGATCGTTCAATTTGTGGACCTCTCGTTCATGGAACGAATCGAGAGGGGATTTTGGCTTTGGTCCTAACTGTTTAAAGGTTTGACCAAGATGGGAATTTGAGACGATCCTAACTGTTTAAAGGTTTGATCGTTCAATTTGTGGACCTCTCGTTCATGGAACGAATCGAGAGGGGATTTTGGCTTTGGTCCTAACTGTTTAAAGGTTTGACCAAGATGGGAATTTGAGACGATCCTAACTGTTTAAAGGTTTGATCGTTCAATTTGTGGACCTCTCGTTCATGGAACGAATCGAGAGGGGATTTTGGCTTTGGTCCTAACTGTTTAAAGGTTTGACCAAGTGGGAGTTTTGAGACGATCCTAACTGTTTAAAGGTTTGATCGTTCAATTTGTGGACCTCTCGTTCATGGAACGAATCGAGAGGGGATTTTGGCTTTGGTCCTAACTGTTTAAAGGTTTGACCAAGATGGGAATTTGAGACGATCCTAACTGTTTAAAGGTTTGATCGTTCAATTTGTGGACCTCTCGTTCATGGAATGAATCGAGAGGGGATTTTGGCTTTGGTCCTAACTGTTTAAAGGTTTGACCAAAATGGGAATTTTGTGAGGGAAGATTGA